TGTCCTAATACTGAATGTTGAATAAGGGAAGAGGTTCAGTGGTACCGCGGATGCCACTTTGCAGTATATTTCCTGTATGTGTTACCACGAAAGATTGTGTAAACGAGCTACCTATCACAGTTGGAGAGCAGCGACATTTTTTACTGTTAACTGAGCTGGGCGGTGGTGTCAGAAATACGTAAGCAATCGCATTTGATTCAAATGAATCGGTTTTATTCGAGAGAATCTCGGCCTCAATGGAATTTACTCATTGGATTATTAAGGGCTTAGACTGCCTCCACTAATGCAATGAATCATACTCACATTCACGTCTGGGTATGGTGACCGACTTATCGGTCCATCTTGGCGTGATTCGCTTCCTTACCGGACCGACAGACGTCAGTTGACTCCGGGTTCGCTCATTCGTATCTATGACGCACACTCGATCAACGATCACGAACATAACGTTCCCGGGTGGAACGGGAGTATGTGCGGGGGAGGGGAGGGGGGGAGAACGGTGCACCTTACATCACCGAAACATCCATCCTTGCTTGGTAACTCACTAAAAAGTACTTTTATTTGTTTACAGGGAAGTGAGTTGATTCGGACTGGACGGGGTTTAGACAGACCCGGTCCAATGGGTGACCTTTGACGGTCGAAACAGCAATAATTTTGCGGGGTTTCTAATGGAGTGCGATTGGTTGGATTCACGTGAAGTCACGGCGGATTCACTTGAAGCTGAAAAGGTATAGTGCTTCTTGCATCAACAGTACACCCTACTATCGGGAATAAAGGTAGCCGGAGCCCGGCGTTTTACGTCATCTTAGGACTTGCATTTCCTCGCAGAATTCTGCCTCGGAAGACTGACTATTCACCCACAATCGCGAAACTAAACTCGAGAATATGGGATGATGAAACAACATAAGATAAGCAGCGAGGGCATTTATCATTTATCATTTATATGGCAGGAAAGGGTTCAAAAGGAATTGATGACAATGGATTCAACAGCGTGACCACCATCGTTGGACGGGATAGGTCGGTCAGTTCGCCTAGGCGAGCTGAAACATCCGGATTCCAAAGAGCTCTACGATCGTGACGGTCCAGCAAAATGGCATGCAGAAGCACGTCAAACCTGGTCGTTATTTCCCAGAAAAGAAATCTCCTCTCGATAGTCTTAGCTGTGGTGATTGGACCAGAACCACATTTAATTTAGACCCGAACGATTAACAGAATGCATCATTCCAGACGATAATTTAGGTCGTTGCCTTAGTTAGCGTTTGTTAGATTAATGCAGAGAAAAATAGCGAGTTCTTGGTTAAGGACGTTTCGATCACTTTGGAAGGTCTTTTTCAAGTTAAATAACAAGCAAACATTAGGCAAAAAACTAAGAGAAGCCGTATGAAATTGAGGATGTCACCGGAGAGCTTCGGACCCTGTGGTCCGAGCCCCGTCACCGCCACTCAACTTTGGTGGGAGGCAGCCTTGCTGTTGTCCGGTTCAATACCATGACAGACGTAACGGGGCCGTATGTGGTTCGCAACTCCAGGTCCCTGTTACCATCCCTGAACAGCACGTTTTAATGACTATGGGGTCCGTCCCGTCTGCTGTTCCTGACACACTAGTGTGATAAAAAATTGTTTTGATTGGTCTAGGGGAAGGAAAAATTGTTTTTGTGCGTGTGCGTGTCACCTGCGACGTGATCCATAGCTCTTTGACCTCTAATTCATTCACAACTTCTATGATCTCATTTATTACCAAACATACACAGAATTTTTCCTAACACTAGACCAATCAAAACTGGCTCTATTTCATACAGTTTCCCTCACAAATGTTTTTTCTTACGTTCGCTTGTTGTTTGATATGAAAAGGCCTTCTAGGAGAGCCCAGACATCGTCAACCGGTTTACTCTCATTGTGGCTAATCCGAACATGCATATACGGACTTATTACTCAAAATTTCTTAAAAAACATCCGTTACAAATTGGGATCTGAAACCGCAAACCAATAACGGGGTAAAATGAAGACAAAGAGAATGTTGACAAGATAACGATACATAACGTGAGAAAACATGATGCGCAAGTTCCAGTTTCAGTTTATACAACCATTAACCATGCACTTTCGTGAGTCGGTTTTCGTTGCTATCTCTTGGCTGCCCATTTGGATAAACATTAGGAGAAAGACAGGAAAGGGTGAAAGTAGGATCGGAGAGAAAATTGAAAAGTTCAGTGGATTATTAATACAGAAAAATTGAGAAAAGGAATGAACGCCACTGTTTGCGACACCCATCCATATCATTCAATGTCTCTAACCATCGGGTACGACCATCCCGAGGTCCCCATCCAGGGAGCCTAACGGGGCTTATGTGACCTAGTCTTCTGGTTAGGGTTTTCATACCCTCATTCCAGGTCTTAGCTTGACCACCTTGGGCTTTCTTTCACCCACTACCTGCCTCGGCAAACATCGCTCACCGTGGCAGCCTATTTGGCGACATGCGTAACATGCCCCAACCAACGTAATCTATGGAGGTCGACCACTTTTTCCAGTGGGCGACCGCGGTTGCCTAAAACTTTTCGCCTGACCTCAACATTGCTCGTCCGGCTGCCCCACCAGATTCGTTCAATGCTGCGTAGACAGCAGTGTTTAAACGCCGACAGTCTATCTTTGTCCCGTTTCCTTGATGGCCAAGTTTCTGCATCGTATAGCGGAACTGGCCGAACTGTCGCGGCATACACTCAACTCTTCACAGACAGCCGGATTTCGCGACGGCGCCACAGATGTCTCAAGTTGGTAAATGCCAACCGAGCCTTTTATATGCGAGCAGACACGTCATCCGTGATGCGTCCACCGGGTGAGATGCAGCTGCCCAAATAACAAAACTTATCCACCTGCTCCATTACTTCCCCAGTTAGAGTAGGGCTGAAACCTGTTCCCTCTCACCACACTGAGCCCAGGAGTTTCGTTAACTCCGAAACCAATGCAAAAGCTCCATCCTTAAAAACGGATGGGGAGAGCCCGTCTGGGCCTGAGGCCTTATGCCTTTTGAGATAGCTAATTTCCCGGGAAACCTCCAGTTCAGATGGAGGCCTGGTATCAACTGGCAGAATTTGCGTAGTCGCGGTGGAGGGTGATAGTTTAGATGTCGATGGGGGCCAATTGAACTGAGCTTCAAAATGTTCAGCCCATCGATCAAGACGGTGTTGCTGATCGTGAATCAGTGTGCCATCGGATTCCCTAATTACTGCACTTACGCTTATTTTCCTAGGACCCGTATTCCTAATTAAACGGAAAAGATTTCGACTATGACCAATAGCCGCAGCCTTCTCCTTCTCTCTACACTTTCTTATCCACCACTTCTAGCAGTCATTCCTCAGACTCTTAATGAGCTAGCGTTTGAGGGATTTGCGCGCTGTCATATGCGGCATCAGGAGTAAGGGTTCTGCGGGCGTCCAGCAGGGCAGCTGGGGTCGATGAGATCCATCATTTATGTTTTCAGTCTGCGCGAGGGTCTAATGTTGTTTTTATTGATATTTGCATAGGTTCCTCGATTTGCTGCCAGTGTTCATTGGGTCCTTCGGCTGGTAGTCTAACTGACAGGCGATCGGAGAGTTCCGCTTAGAAGACTGATTTGCAACAATCGCTGACGTTGAACCGTAGGTATCCGTTTTCGCAGGCTCTTTTACGGAGGTCTACCAGGCGTAAGGAGAATTTGGCTCGTAGCAAAGCGTGGTCCGTATCCACAGATGTTGACCAGTAAGAGCGGCAGTCTTGAATCGATCCTCCCCCAGCGGTAACTGGGCTACGCTACTTGGTGGGGTAGTAGTTAGCCTTGCGGTCAACTCGTTTTGGTAATCGGCTAACACGGCCGGGTCAGAAAGCTTGGCGACGTCAAGCTGTTTGCATCGCATCTTTTTGTGGCCCCCAAATCGCATAGACAACTTGGCACAAACTATTGCGTGGTCGGAGTCCAAGCAGGTAGACCAATACGAACGGCAATCTTTCA